GAACAAAGGGCAGATCAAAAGCATTGCCTCTAGCATTCCGTTTTATCAAAACATGACCATTTCCATAAGCCAGGACATTTTACAATGCAAAGAGGAAAATTAAAAGGTAAGAAATATAGATGATTTCAGACAAAAAGATGATTTTAGACAACTAATGTTCAGAATATCGACAAGACATGAAAATAAATGCACTAAAAACTGGAATAGCACATTCACTCAAGAAAGACTAGAAGTGGTAAAATAACTTTATAAACCAAGAACTAAATAAGTGCAAATGAAAACACGAGATTTTTTTTCATCTGTCAAAATTGGGTAAATATAATAACAAAATAACATAAAATTTCATTGTTAATGTTAGAAAAATAGATCTTCTCTTATTCTATTGGTGTTGATATCCCTTGGGACAACATTATAGAGTGTATCTATATTAAAACTCATAAAAATATAGCATGGGGTGGCCTGGTGCAATAGCCTATTGGCTAAATTCTTGCCCTGCATCCACTGGATCCATATGGGTGTTGGGTTGTGTCCTAGCTGCTCCACTTCCCATCCAGCTCCTTGCTTGTGACCTGGGAAAGCAGTCAAGGACAGCCCAAAGCCTTGGGATCCTGCGCCTGAATGGGAGACCCAGAAGAGGCTTCTGGATCCTGGCTTCAGATTGGCTCAGCTTTGGCCATTGTGGCTGCTTGGGGAGTGAATCATTGTACGGAAGATCTTCCTCTCTGTCTCTCCTTCTCTCTGTATATTTCACTTTGTAATAAAAATAAATAAATGTTAAAAAAAGATAACAATCAGCAAGGAAAGTGTAGCATCAACTTTTAAATATGTAATCATACTAAAAGCCACATTAAAAAGTGAAAATCTGGCTACTTGGAATAATAGGATTACAGATGATTCTTACTTTATGTTGCCTTCCTACTGATTTAATTTCCTAGTTTTTCTGCATGAATTTGCATAAGTTGTAGAACCATAAAAAAATGAACAGAAAGTTAAAGTCCTTATTAAATAGAAATACAGGAGATTCAAAGGCCAACAACACTTGTTTATCTGCCAGCAGGTTCTATGCTGAGTGAGGTTTTACAGGACATACCCTTGGATATGCTGTTTCTAATGCAGCAAGGAGCAATGTAAAAAAAAAAAATAGATGTTATGAACCCATCTCTTGCTTCTTCATGAATGCACCACAGGAAGGCATAAATTGTATTTTTGCTGGAATAAATTGAGCTGCTATTGAGTAAAGAGCTGTTTCTTTCAAGAAGGCAATGGTCCCTAATTCCTCTTGATCAGTTAAGTAGAGGCAGTTCAGCTTGGCAGTTTTGGTTAAAATGCAGGAGTGCTACAGCAAAGCATGTTACACATGGGCCCACAGTTCCTGGTGCAGGAATGGAACCGGCAGACTCCTGAAAAATACACATGTGTACACACACACCAAAGGCCATCCTTTCAAAAGGTATTTGTATATAGCTAAATCCTAAGTCAAGGGTGTGTTTTCTTGGAGAAGGCAAGAAGATTTATGAAGATTCACATATCACTGCAACAGTTCCTGTATGACTAAGGGTGACAACTATTTCACATCCTGAGCTGTGAAGACGCTTATTTTCACCAGCAAGCAGCAAGGACTCCCCTTCTCCAAAGTTCTGAGACAGACAACATCACTACCATCACCAGCAAACATGCAGATCCTGGTGTGTCAGTTTTTCAAGCCTATTTATAAGTGAACAACTATTCATGATCCTTTCCATTTTTTGTTATCATTATTTTCCATGAACTATTAATGGTCTTGAAAAAAAAAAGCTTGATAGACACGATTAGCTTTTGCCATTCTCTTTTCTTCCACTGACGATAAAGCACTAGAGAATAAGGGCTGAAATCATGATGGAAAACTCAGGAAATTAAAGAGGTAAGTTTAGGTAAAGTGAGTAAATTTCCCAATATGCACATATATCAACATTTTATCCAAAGGCATAGGCTATGGTCTAAATGTTTCCTCAAAATAGCAGCTAAAGTCTTGAATGCACCGGGATCTATATGGGCGCTGGTTCTAATCTCGGCAGCAATACTTCCCATCCAGCTCCCTGCCTATGGCCTGGGACAGCAGTCAAGGACGGCTAGAAGCCTTGGGACCCTGCACCCACGTGGGAGACCTGGAAGAGGCTCCTGGTTTTGGATTGGCTCAGCTCCAGGCATTGCAGCTTCCTGGGGAGTGAACCATCGGAAGGAAGATCTTTCTCTGTCTCCTCTCTGTATATTTGACTTTCTAATAAAAATAAATAAATCTTCAAAAAATAAAAAAGAAATTCTAAGCCCCCTCTTTCCTTCCCCACAAGGTAATGGTATTAGTAAGTAGAGCCATTGGGAAATCATTGGGCTTGAGGGCGGGGCTCTCATGCATAGTATCCACGCTTATGTGGAGCCATCTCGCACCTTCCTTAATGTGAGGATACAGCTATAAGGAACCATCTATGAAGCCGAAAATAGGTCTTTTGGGCCAGAGCTGTGGTATTGTGGGTAAAGCTTCTGACTGGGATGTTGGCATTCCATATGGTGCCTGTTGAGTCTCAGCTGCTCCACTTCCCATTCAGCACCCTGCCAAAGTGCCTGGGAAAAGCAATAGAAGATGGCCCTACAGTTTCTGGGAAGTCCAGAAAAAGTTTTTGTCTTTTGGCATTGGACTGGCCCAGTCCTTGGGGTTGGGACCATGTGGGGAGTAAATCAGCAGATGAAAGATCTTTCTCTCTCTCTCTGTATGACTTTAACTTTTAAATAAATAAATATTTAAATAAGTAAGTAGATCTTAAAAAGCTTACTCTCAACAGACACCATTAAGTGTGCTGGTATCTTGAATTTGAACTCCCAGCCTCTAGATACGTGGCAAGTAAGTTTCCATTGTTTATAAGTGACTCAGCTTTTAGGAATTTGTTGTAGTAGATTGAATAGACTAAGACAGTGTGTAATAGTTTATCTGCCTTAAAATCAAGCACCAAAGAAAGCACTCCACCTTGATGCATCCTACATGTCAACAGCAAGGAGGGGAGGAGTGTGGAACAATGATCTGAATCACTGAGGCTAAAAAAAAAGAAGTAAAACTGCCACAGAAACTACTCTGGGCAGAAACTACTCTGGGTAATTCAAATGAAAGTAGAGAAGCTCACCACAAATCCTACGTTGAGATTATGCAAATCAATCCCTCGGTTTCCTAGTGTTTTCTAAAAATTAAATTATAATATCAAAAAGAATCATGTATTTCATATTTTTTGTTTTCTGGAAGGAGACAGCCAAACTATTTCTGAAAAAAAAAAAGTGACTATATTATGTTTTAAGATATCAGGAGAAGATTTCCTACTGGGTGACAAGCCAGGTAGAAAAGCAGCAAAGACAGAAAGATATTTTTCATCTTTTAAAATATTGGTTCTGAATGAGCAAATTCTTGTGAATCTATGTTTTCTATGTATTTGTTACAAATTAAGCAAAAAAGACTTGAGATGTTATATTTGGAGCGCGCTTGATAAAATTTTCCTAAATAATAATTCTTAGAGGTGAAAATGATAAATGTGGCAAAGAATGCCTGTTCTTCCCCATGGTTTAAACTGTCTAAAGTTTCAAGAAGCACAAGTCGACAGATGGTAGCAGGCTGTATCTCTGGCAGGTGGAACCAATCTAATGATATTAAGTGCTGGGAACAGATTTGAGTCCATCATTTTAAAGTGGCCATTATGAGCAAGGGTCCTTCAAAAGTGTAGAAATTGGGCTAAATATAGGTCTCTATTAGTGAAGAAAATGAAATTCAATGTGCATTTTCCATAACTTTTGGAGGATATATGCACAAACTATTCAATACTAATGAATCTGTAAAGAGAGTGATAAAATTATTTCTTGTTTTCTGATTTATTTTGCCTATGTTTTCTTAAGGTCTGGACAGTCCATTAGCCAGGAAAATCAAGGAAATTTGTACATACTTTTAATTATTTATGGTGTTTTAACATGTCTTTTAAATTTTGAAGTTATGATTCAATTTTCAGTTCCCAAACCCCACATCCATTAGAAAGAGCTGTACAATAAAAGGAACCTTATCACTCTAATCTTTTGGGTTTGCTTTCCAATTAGTACAGCAGTGTCTGTCCAATCATTGTGCAGTGTTTGCTTGGAGCACCACCTGAAAAAAATGGTCCAGAGGCCACACCCGCCTGAGACACTGAGTCATTTAAGTACTGTCTGTCACACCTACCAATTGCTCAAAAAGAAAAGGAGGAAGAAAACACAAACATTGTATGCTGGTTATTCAAAATGCACTTTTTATTCAATTTGACACAGATAAATTTTTACAGTTGAAAGAAAATATCTGATACACTATTTTGAGATTTTTAGCAGCACCTGCAACAGGAAGATTGTGGAGTACCTCAGGATAACATAGTGATGGCTGAGGCAGGCACAAATTAACCTGAAATTCATCAATCTGCTGAAAGACATATGGAATCTGAGGCCCCCTGGAAGTTAGCCTATACATGACAATAAACTAAATATTCGGTAGGACGTTTTAATGACCATCGAAAAGCAGTATGGTTCCAATTAGAAATATAGTATTCCAAAAAATCTAGGATTCATTAAAAAACCCAACTATTGAGAATATTGCACTGCACATTCTAGGACACATAATCAATTTCTAAACCTATATGCACAGTTCCTGGTACTCACAAATTTCAGCCTTTGGTGTTTTGTTAAGGTTATTCAAACTACATGTCAGCACATCACTGTGTTGTCACTTAATGTTAAGTGCTTTCCTTAAGCTATTGTGTAGCAATCTGGCAGGAAACAATTGGTATGGCTAAGAGGAAAGGGGCTTCAGTTCATTTGCCAATAAAATGAATAATTGTGTCAGATGGACAGGATGCCTGATGAATCAGATACCCACACTTATGGTTTACTCAAATCACAGCATGCCACTCTAAGGGATGAGTACTTTTGTGAGCTTATGGAAGTCTTTATGAAGGCCTGAGATCTACAGATAGAAACCATTATAAGCAGAGTGCAAGTAGAAAGAGAAGGCCCCAGGTCTCATGCGCTTAAAAATAATTAGCATTTAACAGTTCTGGCGTACAGATTTTCATCCTAACGTGATAGTAGCAAAATGATCATAGAACTTGGAAACCATTGTGGCTGGCTATAGGCATAGGCAGGATAGGAACCGATACTTAAGAGCTGTGGGGTATCAATTCTAGCATCAATTAGTTGGACAATGGGGAAGGACTCTTTTAATTGAAAATATTAAAAATGACTAGGTTGAAATATTGTCCTCCTCTTCTCTATGTGGCCAAAAGGTCCCAGAGCTCTTAAAGCACAGAAGGTCCCACACGTAAGGCTGATTCCACATGTGGCTACAATGGAGAGTTCTAGGCTGTATTCCTGTGAAAGCTCCCACCCCTCCCTGGCCTAGATCTTTTTCTGGGGGTAGTTCCATCATTCACTATCTTGGATCATTATTTGTTTTATCACCAATGTTTTAAAATACAGATTAAAAGCTATGCAGGACAAACAGATCAACCAACAAGAACTAGACTGTATGTTCATGGCATAGTATACACATGGAAATCATCATCATCAAAAATTGTCCAACCATTTTTGTATTTTAAGGTGGTGTCTTCAGGATGCTTACATCATGTTACAAAGGTTACTCAGAGATTTAGAATTTTTTTCTGCCACGGGGCAAAAGCAAAAGGAAGAGCTACGTGGCTGCTGTTAAAGGCAGATCACAGAATGTTTTGAGAATTTTTACAGTCCCGCTCCATAGTCTTAGCTGCTATCTTCAGAAAATCTACTCACAATGTGGCATTCACATAGTTGATAGATTCATAGAACCCAGGGATGAAAGGGTTCTTATAATAAACATGTAGCCAGTATACACATTCTTTCTATGGTATTTATAACAGATGGTCATTCACTGAATAGTCTCACGGGAAGGGAGCTCACTATTAAGGCAATCCATTCCACTGCTGGACAACTCTAAATATGAAAGATTTGTGTAACACAGGGTTCAAAGTTGCCATTTTGACACTTTCAATGTCCTTGTTTGGCCAGCTGAATATATAACACAAAATCCAGACATCAATTCCTTCTTCTATGAAAAATAATTGAGTTAAGGAACCTTGTAAGAAAAGCCCACAGTCCTCCAGTCTTGTGAGAAACGTTCTCCATGAGTCCAAAGGATCCTCTAAATTGTGAGCAGAAACGCTGTGCCCAAAGCCATATACTGAAGCAGCACTGCTAAATTGATAAGAGGTCAGAGAAGCAACATTTCTATGCAGCAGAAATAGACTTCTTAAGTAAAAGCAGACCAAATGTGTATTTGGAAAAGGGGGTTGGCATATTTAAGCACAATCCACTCACCAGTATCCTATGACTTCAAAAACAAGGAATAAATCAATTTCCAGTGTCATCAGAATATCTCTTAGTTGAGATAGTAACTTTTTAAAACCAGGCTCAGATGGGAGCAAACCATTGATAAGTAGTTAAACAAGGGCACATCACTTGCTTTTACATTCTTACCCATTATATAACTTCTTTATAAATCAGATCTGAGAAATCTTTGCATCACTATTTATAGTAATAGCTCAGGATCTTCTATTTTTCCCTTTGGCAGAAATGTCAGAAACTGTTTGGCAAGAGTCTGATGGTGATATTTATTAATTGATTAATGGATTGCTTTAAGGGGTAGCTGTAGCTCTTTAACTCCTTTATGCAGCTGTGTCTAGGTTTAAACTGTGATATCAAAAAAATGTTCAGATCTGTCAGCGCAGAAACGTTCCAAAATGTCCTGAGACACACAAGAAGGAGAAACAGCAGACATTAAGCAAAATACAATTGGCTCGATAAAGCATTTAAAAGAAATCACTCCACAACTTCAACTGGAAAGGCTCTGTTTTGCAATCAGAACCTTCTGTCTTACCCTTGTGTGTGTGTGTGTGTGTGTGTGTGTGTGCACCCTAAAAGGGCCCCAGTTATTCTTGCACTGCTGATTGACCAATTTGGGGCATGCTTCGAAAAGGCTCCCTACTTTTAACAGCATGAAGATCCTGCTTTGGAGCCACTGTTCAAGTCAATGGTGTGACCCAACATGCAATGCTCCAGCTGTTCCTCGACAGCCAACACCTGCCTGACAGCTTCTTCAAAGGCCACTGTCACATTCGTATCATCTTTGGCACTTGTTTCTAGATAAGGGTAATCCCCATTCTCCATGCACCAGGCTTGTGCCTCCTCAGTAGTCACTTGCCTATCCTCTTTGTCTACCTTGTTACCCAGAACTACAAAGGGGAAATGCTCAGGGTCCTTCACGTCTGCATAGTAGATGAATTCTTTCTGCCAGTTTCCGAGGTTCTCGAAGCTCTGCCGGTCATCCACGCTGAAGGTCAAGAGGCAGCAGTCTGCTCCCCTGTAGAATGGTGTCCTGAGGCTCTTGAAACGTTCCTGCCCCGCAGTGTCCCAAATCTGGAGGGTTACAAAGCGTCCATCTACCTCTAGATCTCGATTTAAGAACTCTACCCCTATGGTGTGAAAAGCCTGGGAGTCAAATTTATTGGTTACATAACGGTTCATAAGTGAGCTTTTCCCAACTCCACCATCACCCAAGAGGATGACCTTTAAGAGCAGGGATTTCCCACTCATTGTTACAGCACCAGTCAGAGAGGAGTTCCTAACCCAGAGAACCTGAAAAGAAAAGATAGCAGGGAAACCAGTTAAACCTGAAGCTGAAACCAATTCTGTAGCAAATTTCTCTGAGTACTGAGGCCTTTTCACTTAACATCAATGGAATCATGTTCATTCATTGATATAGTACAGTTGAAGGAACAAAATTCTTTTTGCACAGGGGAGAAAATAGGTCTTGTTTTACTGACGTTTCATGCGTGTGGCTGAATGCCATGGATAAATGGACTGGCAGATGGTCCTGAGGTTTCATGCTTTTCTGACCCTATTCTATGGGACAGAGCACAGAAGCTGAATGCCACTGAGGTATGTGACTATGTTAGCTTCCTGTTTGACCAGTTCTAAATAAGATGCAAGTACTGTGAAGCTGATTTGGAGTTTGAACTCTGTTCCCAGTAGATCCCAGAATTCTTGAGGACAATAAAGTCTGTAAAGCTGGATACTTGATTGTACTGGTAGAGATCTGCACCTGAGTTAGAGTGGGCCGGCCCCGGAATTTGGAAGACAATAAAAGAGCAAGTTTTCTTTCTTTTTTCAAGTATTCACTAAAAGGGATAATCTCTTTAGTGCGGGATTTACTGTCACTGTATGTCAGTTGACTCTTAACAATAACAGCTGTCATTAAGAAAGAAAATCTTAACTAGCTTACTAGTGTTTTTAGTTAGGTTCTAACAAAAGCAATATGCTATACGATCTGAAGTGCTAGGAATTACACAGTACTCTTGTTTTTACCTCTGTAGCATGCTTACACACGCATCTGAAAATAAAAAGATCAGATGTTTACTGACCAGCTACCTTTACTGTAATCTGTTAGGTATTTTCACACAAGGTCCATCTTAGGAACTGATTCATGAATATATTAACCAGGTAATTTTTATGCAAGAACTCCAAAGGGATTAAAAGCCCAACTCTAATCGAAGGAACACACACCGAAGAGCTTCAGGAAGCGCACACATTGGAAATGTACTTAAATAAAACCTCAGTAGTCCCTAAAATTATTCTGGAATGCATGTGTATTACCTATGTTTTTCTAAATATTTATTTTCTAAGAGATCAAATTTATATCTAGAATCTGTTATGTGCACCCGTGAAATATTTACCTAGTTGTATTTTTGTCACAGTTTTAATCCTTTTCTTTTTTTTCCTGTTGTTTTATTCTTTCTTTTCAAGGCTCTAAAAAACAGAATAGCAAACATTATTTTTTAGAATCTATAATGAAACCAAGTTTAAGGCTATATATGAAAATGCATTCATGTCAGGGAAAAAATGAAGTAGTCTCAAGTTACTTGCCAATGATGCTTTTCACAAATACACTAGAATTTAAAAAGCTATGAATGTTTAACATGAACAAAATAATTTTATTGCAGGGACTTTAACTTTTCTTAATTTGACAGTGTTCTATAGGATTTTTCTTGGTTTTATATTGCCTCTCTATTAAAGCTTCACTACAAGTAAAAATAAATAAAATAAAGTATATGATTTTTATAATAGAAGATATTCAAAAAGGGAAGGTGTAGAGGAATAATAGATATATTGAAATCCTAAGAAATGAAAGTGCTTCCCTTTACCTATCAATGCATCCATCTCCAGAAAAGTTATTAGTACACATAGCAATCTGCTCCTAAAATTGTCTTTGAAATTGATTCCATGTGACCAGAGAAGAAAAAATCATGCTTGTAGGCTGCTTCTTTTTTACAATACAAATGGGAAAGCAGCGGAGGTTGGCTCACAGCCTCTAGATCCTGCACCTAATTCGGAGACCTGGTAGATATTCCTGGTAGAATGGCTCAGCTCTGGCCATTGAGGTCATCTGGGAAGTGAACCGGTGGCTGGGAGATAAAAAGATCTTTCTCTCCGACTCTTGTTCTTTCTGTAAATCTGCCTTTCTAATAAAAATAAACTTTTTTTTTTTTTTGGTAAATATTACTGGTCTAGGGACCGGTGCCTAAGCCTGTGTGCTAGCATCTCCTATGGATGCTGATTCAAACTGAATTCTAGCTAATGCAAATTCGCTTTCAGCTCCTGGGAAGGCAACAGAGGAGAGCCCAAGCTCATGGATCCTGCACCCATATGGGAGACCTGTAGGAAGCTCCTGGCTTCAGATTGGCTAAGCTCTGGCAGTTGAAGTCATTTGAAAAATAAACCAATGGATGGAAGATCTCTTTCTCTGTCTCTTCTCCATAACTCTGACTTTCTTTTTTTTTTATTAAAGATTTATTTTTATTATTTTTTAATTGGAAAGGCGGATATACACAGAGAAGAGACAGAGAGGAAGATCTTCCGTCCGATGATTCACTCCCCAAGTGAGCGCAACGGGCCGATACTATGCCGATCCGAAGCCAGGAGCCTCTTTTGGGTCTCCCACGCGGGTGCAGGTTCCCAAAGCTTTGGGCCGTCCTGCACTGCTTTCCCAGGCCACAGGCAGGGAGCTGGAAGGGAAGCGGGGCTGCCGGGATTAGAACCGGCGTCCATATGGGATCCCGGGCGTGCAAGGCGAGGACCTTTAACCACTTGCGCCACCGTGCCGGCCCCGTAACTCTGACTTTCTAATAAAAGTAAATAAATATTAAAACAGTACTGATCTAAAAAGTTTCTAGGTCTGTTGAATGTTACTTTTTATGAGGAATAATGAAGTCTTTGAACATTTTCTGCTGCTTAAGAATTTCATGCCATCTTTTTCCAATATGAGTAAAGTAAATCCTAGGGATTCAAGAAATATCCAAATCACTGATTATGAATTTAAATACCATCTTATAAGTTGATATGTTTTATTCTTCTTGACCTATGTCTAGTGCACAGAATTATCCAGTTTCTTACAATTCCTAATTTTTCTCCTTTTTCTTTTCCTGCTCTCAAACTGCTATTTTTGGAACCAGCTCAAGAAACAAATATTTCTTTAAGAGGAAATAGCATTAGCCTATTTCTTTATTATTTAAACTGGTCTGTAGGATAATTTTACAGGTTAGAACTTTTGAATTCTCATTTCAAAAAGTAACAGAAGGAAGTACAACTTGAATACAACATTGATGCCTCATATTAAATGTCCATGCCAAGTGAGCTTCCTTAAGTTCCTAGCAAACAGGTGTTCACATCATTAAATGACTTACTAATACTACTTTCCGGGCTCAATAGATGGGTCAAGCACTGTGAGTGAATATAGAAACCAAATGCTCAGCTCCAGGAATAATGATGAATTATTAATAACCATTTAAGATAATGCTGCAGTTGTTTGTGCATTACCTATTTGGTCATGTATGCATACAACTTCTGGGTACATAGGCTCTATGCAAGGGGGAAGGAAGAAAAAAGCAACATAGTTCCATATCAAGAGCACTAGACTGGCAGCAAAGAGGACACCATGGTTGCCATAACTGCTACAACATTCATCTATTTCATGAGTGTAGGCAGGTCATTTACTCTTTTTCTGTTTCAATATCTTCCTCTATATAAATAGAGCTGATAATATCTACCCTACTTAACTCACAGGATGTGCAGGGGGTTGAATAAATTATGAGGTTGGCAAAGATTTGTAAGTATTTCTTGAATATTTTTTTGGGAAAGTTTTTGTATCTTCTGCTCCTATAGCTCCTTTCATTTTGTTGTGGGAACCTGTGGACATGGTGTTGAGCCTCCTCTGAAAGTATCTTCCAATGCGAAAATAATACATTTTTCCTTTTCCTGTTCTTCCATATCTGACAATGTCTTGTTTCTCCATATTCTTGAACATCTGCAATATGGCACACAGTCTCAACATTGGAGGGACCTTAAAGGTCTTCTGGACCAATTCTGCTATTGAGTTTTGAGAAAATATTTGATTACCTGTTGTGTGATAGATCCCCACTAAAGTGACTTTGCACTCTCCTCTGAGCCTCCATTTATTTGCTAGAAGTAGAAATTAATATACTTTAGATTTGTCTCCTTGCCATAATCACTAAATCGTGGTGATGTTTTTTGGAGCTGTTTTGGTTTTGTCCTCGTTTTCTCCCACCATTCTCATTTTGGCCCACATCTCCTCACAGCCAATCTATTTTGAAAACTTCCTGGTTCTTTACCCCCTGCCTCTGGTTTCCCCTCAATCTACTTTGCAAAGCTTCATCACTTGAACACACATCAGGTGTAGATGCTCTTCAGAATCGCATAAATGTTTAAGGCAAGATCTTTCCCTCAAGAAGTTTAGAAATCACATATAAGCTTCAGCTCTCCTGATTTACAGTTAAAATCTTATCATAAAACTGCAGTACCGGGCCCGGCACGGTGGCGCAAGTGGTTAAGGGCCTCGCCTAGCACGCCCGGGATCCCATATGGGCGCCGGTTCTAATCCCGGCAGCCCCGCTTCCCTTCCAGCTCCCTTCCAGCTCCCTGCCTGTGGCCCGGGAAAGCAGTCGAGGACGGCCCAAAGCTTTGGGACCCTGCACCCGCGTGGGAGACCCAAAAGAGGCTCCTGGCTTTGGATCGGCATAGCATCGGCCATTGCGCTCACTTGGGGAGTGAATCATCGGACGGAAGATCTTCCTCTCTGTCTCTCCTCTCTGTATATCTGCCTTTCCAATAAAAAAAAAAATAATAAAAAATAAATCTTAAAAAAAAAACTGCAGTACCTTGTGAAAGAAAGAAAGAAAGGAAGGAAGAGAGAGGGAAAGAGAAAGAAAAAAAAGAACACTGTTTTTTTTTAAAGTGCTATCCTTCCTTCACAACTGATTTTAAATTCCTGGATGAACTGCAGATGTCACTGAAACCTCTTCAAGCATACAGACCAGAATCCTCCATAGAGATCATCAAAAAACCTTTGCTTTAGGAATTAACTGATTAGGTAGGTTCCCACAATTAATGCCTCAGAACTGATGCCAAAACACAATAGATCCATACTTGGTAAAATGTTCATTAGGTAACTAAAGCATAGATAATATGAACTTATCTGGATTATTTGCCAGATGGGGTTTAACAGGAATTCTACCTGTTGAAAGTCAGTAGAAAGTCTCCCGTTTCCCTCTTTTTCCCCTCACATTTTAAGACCAAATATGTACATCTTTAATTCCTACCAAAAATAAGAGTAGAACAATTATGTCTGCTTTATATTCTTAGAGAGTGCAGGCATCTGTACTATCATTCACCATTGTTTGAAAATAGGGTGATATCCTTGTGGACACACTTAAATGAACAAGAGCTAGCACAATAGAAAAGTAAATGCAACAGTTTTTCCTCCCCCCAAATATCCACAATTATGTTCCAAATTTTAAAAGAAGGTTGCAGTAGGCAGGAAAAAGTTATCTGATAACTCTGAATGTGTTTAATAGAAAGGCCCAAATTCCTTAAATATCCCTTTTGGATCCCCTATGTGGCTAGGGTTTGAATGAAAATATTTATTTTGATTTTGACTTCATTCAGAAAATGTTCTAGCTTTCACTGATTTAAATATCCAAAAGATAGAACTCTTCTTTCTTACAAATTCCAAACAGATTAACACGTACTTTCAGGGATTGTTTTTTCACTACCCCCCAACAATCCATGCCCTCAGTCTTGGGCAATAACGTGAATTGGAGAGCTATGTAACCAATATTTCCCAGATCTTTATTCTTCGGCATACTTGAAACCTTTTGAATCTGCTGTGTCTGCACCCACACAAGCTTATGAAAACTATTGTATTTAGTTGTGGATATTTGGGAGTAGGTGTGGAGGTGGGTGGAGGAGTCAGTACAAAGACAAGAAAGAGGTTGAGCCTTTGAAAATAGTACATTTAGTGCTATCACAGAAGAAAGGCAGAGAAGCAAACTGGCAATGTTAGTTCGGTTGCCATGGGATGGAAAGATGCTCCAAATCAGTAGTGCAGATTGTTTGAGAGCAAGTCCTGAAAGGAATTACAGTGCAGGGCTGAATGAGGGAAGAGATCAGGGGAGCTGGGCAGCTGGTAAGACTGGCCCTGACGGAAATCTGAGGTGGGGAGAACCACCGCTGGAGCTGTGAGCAAAGCCCCTCCTGGGGTGACACAGCAGTTGCAGTATTGCACGCACTGTCGACTCTTAGCATAGTAGTTGGAAATACTGGATTGGAGAGTTGGGCATATCTTTCTTTAATCAATGTAAAAAAATGAACACAAATAAGAAATGATTGGATCTTTGAGACCCTCTAACTTAAATGTTGTGGGCAGCTTTCAATACAACCTGGCGCTTAGTGGTGGTGGTAGCAGGGGTGATGGTGGGTATTCCGTAGTGGGGAAACCCTCATATGCACTGAATTCGCTTTGCAGAGCTCATAAATGATCAGTGACATCCACCTAATTTGTCCAACTGCCACTGAAATGCTATTCCCACGTTTAGAACTCTATTTTCAACTGCAAGTGTCCAATGTGGAATTTAACTTCTAATCTTTCATTCCTTACAACGCAAGCTCTGGAGCTCTGCAACCCAGAACACAGAAGTCACCAATTTGGCTCTGTCTCTGGGCCGCTTCTTCCTGAGTAGACAGCCTGGAGACAAATAGGTAGGTGAGGTTTCGATGGCATTAAGCGAACGAAGGGAAAAGCA